GAGAGAGAGAGAGAGAGAGAGAGAGAGAGAGAGAGAGAGAGAGAGAGAGGGAGAGAGAGGAGGGGGGAGAGAGAGAGAAATAGAGAGAGAGAAGGAGAGAGAGAGGGGGAGAGAGAGGGAGGGAGGGAGAGAGAGATCTTATTCAGACTTGAATCTTAACTTTTTATCACCATCAAAAAGAACATATGAAAATTTTCTATGAGTTAACAGAATGCAGCGTGGGGTTACCCTTTAATTATAAAATTCATGCATATGCTTTAATCATCACTGTATTTAACCTCACTCTTCTGAATTCACTCCTGTCTCCTTACAATGCTCTTTCGTTTGTTCCACTGGATAATTCTCTCCTTGTTGACCTCCTGATTCTTTTATCTTTTCTTCTCATTTCAACCCTGGGCTCTTCCTCTACTAATGCCTTCAGTCCTAAGAATGCCAAAGGCCAGCCCAAATTTAAAGGTCCAGTTAATGATAAGAAACCAGCAACAAGCCTGAGAAGCAGCTACATGTCCTAGAAACCAACTGAAGAATGTGTCATAATGTGTCAAATGCTGTTCATATGTTAAGATGAGGACTGAGAATTGACCACAGGATCACAGGATGGACAGGCATAGAAGTCATAGGTGACCTTGACAAAAACAGTTTCAGTGAAACGGCTTTTAAGACAGAACAAACAGTAGAAATGAAGTTGGAAATAAGCATAAACAACTCTTTCAAGGAATTTTGCTCCTAAGAAAAAAGAAAGAAATGAGGCAGTAGTCCAAGGGAAAAGTGGAATCAAGAGGAAATTTTTTTTAACAAACAAAATTTTATAAACAAACAAAATTAACTCACACATAAAATAAAAAGAATGTGTGTTTACTGTGAAAAAAAGAGAAATTTTTTTTAAAAGATGTAAAACAAATAGCATCTTTTTTATTTGTATGCTACTAGGAATCATCCAGAAGAGGAAAACTGACCATGCGGAACAGAGAAGGAAAAACGACTAAAACAATAGTCTCTAGGTGTGCGAGGAGGATGCGCTCTGGCAAGAAGTAGAGATAAGGAAGGGCCTTAGACAGAAGCAAGGTCAGTCCACCCACAGTACCCGGTGTGAAGACTGTGCACCCAAAGCACACGACTGGGTTGGTGTGGTGACGGCAGCACTTAGCAATTCCCATCTGAATGCTTCTATTTTCTCAGTCATGACCCGAGAATGAAGATAGAAGACTTGGTATTGGAAGTTTATAAAGAAAGAATAACGCATGATTAGTATCTAGAAGAGGGAAATGTGATATGCTTCCCAGGCAGATCAAAGGTTCCATGTGAATTTAGTCATGAATTTAGAGTAGACGAATATGTATGGCTGGGCATTCTCTCCTAATCCAGTATGAAGGAAAAAGAGCAAAAGATTTGAGAGTATACGCAAGAGAGTTAGGTATGATGATAGAATACAGAAATTAAGCTGGAGAAAGGAGGAGGAAAATTAGGGCAAGAGAAGAATGAAAGTAAGGAATTGGCGCAATCAGTGGATGGCAGGTTCTGGTGAGGCCAAAAGACTGAGTCAGGGTGTTAAGGAGAATAAATAAATGAACCTCTGTATTTATACGAGCTGCTCCTTCGGCAGAGCGCTGCTCTATTTCCATGTGTTGGTTAAGAAAGAGGAGCGAGGAAGACAGTTTTTTATATTCAGGTAGCAATAAATGTGGTAGGTTATAAAACAATGGGGGCAGGGGTTTTTAATAAGATGAATTCAACCTTATTGGGGGTCTATTATGTGCCAGGTGTTATATTAGGCATTTGGCATGCAAGCGTTAATTCATTGAGTCACTACATCATGCCAATGAGGTGATACGGTAAATATAATCATAATCGTTAGAGACCTAAGCTCAGGGTCATTACACTTATACAGGTCACAGAGCTCGGAAGTGGTGATCAAGACTCAATCAAATACATGTATGTGCGATACCGTGTTTAAGAGCTTTCCCACCCCCAAAGGTTTAATACCTAAAATGAAATATTTCCAAGTGAATGTTCTTTCTTCCCACTGTTGTTCTGGTCTTTGAGAACGAGGCAGTGGAGGGGTAAGGAGACATCAGGTAACAGTAGGTGTCACAAGCCCAGTATTACTGAGTCCCATTGGCAGCCATGCTTTAGGCTATCAACTTTATAAAGCGAAATATATTTTTGCTGAAATATGGCTTTTCCCTTCCCTGATGAATACCCATTATATTATATATTATGGTAGCACATGGTATTAATAATTTAATTGTATCTTCTGCTTTGTTTTTACTTAAATTCACTTTTGCCATGACCAAATCATATTTGTATAAGGGAGAAAGACAGAAGCACTCAAAAATTGCTTTTTTTTTAAATCACCTTGGTTATTTTGTATTTTTCAACATCTCAACAAAATAATACTCTTTTAAGACTGCAGGCATTAGAATGATTGTCATTCATGCAAATAATCACTTACTTACACTATATGAGTTTGGGCTGGATAAAGCAAATTACCATTTGAAAATAATTCAAATAACACTCTGGGCTAAGACCTTGCTTATGAATGTTATCTTGGCCACAATATTTCTTAACCTTCTTCCATTTAGCTAGTTGTATTTATGGTAATACAGTCCAAATTAATAAACTATTTCAATTGCCACAGGTGTATTAAACATATGATGCTGGAGTACTATATCATATGCAAATGAATTTGAAACATTATTTATTTGGAATTATATAACAGTAATAATTAAGATGTGCTATAACCATCGATTCACCTTAAAGATGTATATTTATTTTCACTACATATTATGTGAAAAACTTAAAAACATGTCAAAAAATAAGGTTCATATTTTAAAAATATGATCTAAAGTATAAACTTGTTGGAGCTAATCATGGATCTAAAGTATAACAACTATATTTTCAAAAGTTGAAATTCTCTCATTATACATTAAAAAAAGTCTTTATACAAACACATCTTATATCTACATATATAACTGAAAATTGATTGTTATCTCAGTTTCACTTAGCTTGATAGTTTTCAAACTGCAAATAGCATTAAATGTTTGACAAATGATCTACAGTGACAGGAAGCTGAGATGGTAAAAAGAAAGCTGAATCAAAACGCATAGGGTCTAAAGTTTAATCCAGTCTGTGACAATAGTCAGCAGTGGGAGTGCAAGCCAGTCTCTGCTTCTCCGGGCCTGTTTTCTGAACGCTGTAAATTAACAATTGGGCAAGGTGGTCTCACTTAAATTTTATGACACTAACTTGATTTGGTAGCAGGCAAATTTTTCTTCAAGGAAGTATTAACTAGTAAGATGCTCAAATTACTCAGCACTAGGGGTGTGGATGAGAACAACTGTTCCCACAGCAAAATGTGGGAGAACTCAGCGAGTCCAGATCACAGAGACTAATGCTGACCTCCAGCATAGCACGTACGGACATTAAATTGTTTCCTGTCTTCATTTCAAGGATGGGGAAGAAACAGCTGTCCCTGAACTCTTTTTAAGGACATAGTCAGTTACAAAACAGCAGCATCCCCAGCTAGTATGAGTCTCACTGAAGTAAACTTACTATTCACAAGGGAGAAATATTCCTGGTAGTAGTAAAAACAATTTTGCTAGGTTTAATCAAAAGTGAAAAGGAATTCTAGAATGTTCCCTTTGAGCCACATCATCCATTGCTAATTCAGGGTGGGCCCAGCAACAAGGGTAATAAAAAATGTCCTTAGTAACTGAGAAAGAGAAATAGCAATTAAGTGCATTTGTGACCCAATATAGAGGACCTAACTCTTTATTAAGATAATACAAATATAAAAAAAATGGAAGAAGGAAAAAGATAGAAAATAGCATGGCAAATGAAAGTAACCCAAGCAGTGAAATTTAATAGTGATCTACTTAGAACACTTACTATATAATACATATAAACCAATAGGTATAAGCTGCATACAAAGATTCAGAATATGTTTGACAATGACTTCTTTAACAAAACAACAAATAAAGAAACAACACAGTAAGTGTTAAAAGCCACAATTGCTTGCTTTGGCAAACAAATAAATAAGAGGAAAGAAAGGAAGAACTCAATATCAGAACTACCCATTCAGTGATAGGTTGGACAAATGATTATTTAAAATCTTTGCAAATCCCAGCATGGTGAAACAGAACTTGGTTCTCTAATTAACGATGTTTATGCTAAGAAGTTAAAATTGGCAAGAAGAACGCCAATTTCTATACATTTGAGGGATAATTTGACACAATATTGAAAACAGAGTCAAACACACTGACCTGCTCACATCAGGAAACCTGATGGGAAAGTAAATAACTTGGCACTTGGGTCTGATGATGCTTTCCAGATCCCTGGGTCTGTGATCAGGAATCAGCTTCATAAATTTTCCAATATTAGTGAGAAATGACTCCATATTGAAAACGGAGTTGAATACCACCACATCAGATACCAGGCTGTCAGGGGAAAGGATGAATGCAAATGATGAGCCCACATCATTCAGTTATTTTTGATAAGCCTAAGATCTTCATATGAATCAGCGTTTGTACTGTACCTGGGCTTTACAAAGAGCTCTCCACTTCCATAAGTATTTATCGGAATGCCTTTAGTGGCTAAGTTAGTTTCATTAGCATTATGCCATGGGAAGTTAGATTGTTGGCATCCAGGAGGAAAGGCAGGAGAGGAATTGCATGATTTCACAAGATTCTATGAGGCTTCCAGCCAAAGTCTAATTCTCCACAGTGCCAGGAACTTTCTACCTTATCAAGAGTTATAAGTACGTGGCACCTTTTTCTTTGTGGCCTAACCACCCACGTTGTATTTCCCTGTCAGTGACGTATATTGTTTGATACCATATTACTGAGAACAGAACGTACGCCATACTTCTTGCTACCTTCAAGGAGACTAATGCAGGTAAAGCTATTTCATACTAGAGCATACCTTCAAAATATGTGGTTAAAGTTTATTTCTTCTTTTAACCCTTGCTTAAAACAACTGTTAAGTTTGTTTTTGTTTTTTTAATTCTGGGGCAATACAGGAGGGATTATATGGCATCTCTAAAAATAACTTATTTTGCTATTACCATATATTTGGAGTAGTCAGAGAAGTAGAAAAAATTGGTGGAAATGGATCCAGAAATCCATATTCTTAGGTCCTACTGATTACATAAAGGGATGTATTATACAGAACAATACCACCATGGACCTTCAGAGTTAAAATAAACATAATATTGGCTATTGCTTTCGATGAAAATACTTTGTTCCTCTCCATAATATCATTTTAAATAAAAATAATAAAAAGTACAAAGCTTATGTATTATAAGTACATCAACAGTTTGAGAGTTCTCTATAACATTTTTTTGGAAACCAATGAACACAATGATAACCATGGGTGATGAGGATAAAATCTCAATATGTAGTATGTGCCCTTTACAAGTCAAAAACTGATTTAATAAATCATTGTTTTAATTTTTTTAAATGGCCCTCTTTGCTTTAAGAAATGATTCAGTGTCTCAGTGTCATTGGATCTCAATAAAATGCAAACAAATGCTTTACTAAGCAGGTATACAAGATCTGATAAAAAAAAGTTTTATTTCACCTTTAAAAGGATAGATCAAGAAAACTGAAAAGACATGTAAGTCCATAATACTGCAAAATGCAAATGAATAAGCAGAGCTTATTGAATAGGAACACATACCATAGCAAATCCTCAGTTTAGTTTAATTTATATTTACTGGAACTGCCGAAGTTCTTATTATCAATATATAGTGGAATGAAAAATCAACAAAAGAAATGTTGACCTGCCTGCCACTCCTACACCTCCCCCACAAAATTGCTTTTCCATACAAGTATTTTTTTTAGTTGTGACCTAGTGTAAATTTGGGGGTAAGGGTGATTACAACATGGATAATACAAAAGAATGTCACAGAAGTGCTGACACAACACCCAGCAATAAGGAAGCCAGTATAATAATATACCAAAAGTTGAGGGATGTTTTACAGCTACTCTGTTTTCACCATATGTCACATATTGTAATAGCGACCCACAGGTCATAATATATAGTTACGCCATGTGCTCATAAGTCAGAGGGTTAGTGAAACCTCTATTTAAGGTGAGTGCTTATGTCAGTCATCTCTAAAGTCCTTAACTGCCACACAGTCAGGAAAGAAATCTGACAGTGCCAACAAAAGCAGAAGTCAGCAAGAAAACTAAAGAAACATTTGAGGAGGCAGGAGTCATACTTTTCAAAGAAAATCTGAACAGGACCACTTTCTGACACTCTTATTTTTCCTCTGGACAACTGTGAAGCGTTTTTTTTGTTTTTTGTTTTTTCTCATTAACAAGCCAACCAATGATCAATTCCACTTCTTTCTTTCCAAGCTTGTCTATCAGTTTACTCTCTTGAGAAGAGCAATGCTAAAACATCATGTCCTAGTTTTTATAGTCTCATTCCCTACGAGCAAAAACAATCTTTTATGAAAGGGAGAGATGAAGGGCAGTAAGCTAAATGTTTTTTTTACATATCTGCCCTCATAGGGCATGCAACCCAACCACTTACATTCTTACAAACTCAGTCTATGCTAAATTAAAGATCCAAGACAGTTTACAGAAACATTCTTTTTCATGCATTTCCTCCCTGATATGAGTGAGTGTAACTTCCATTAACTTTAAAGCCACCCATAAAGGGAAAAATAGGCTTAATTTTTTTTCCCCCAGTTATTTCTCAAGGGTAATAAACACACACTATCTGAGGAAAAGAATGATGCTAATTCAAGAAATCAAAAGAATATTACAAATGTTTTCCATATTGATAAAGCACGAAATGATTTTATTTTTGTTTTTAAAACATATTTCCCTTCTCTGTTCCAATATAAAATAAAGTATTTTAATTTTATTATGAAATTTTAAAACGGTTGTTTTTTTATGAGACATTTGACGTGAAGCAGTTCCACACTATTTTGATAGCACTGCTACTTCACAATTGAAGCAGCTTGTAAAAATTATTGCAGGAAAACATTTACAAAATGCTCAAAACACAGAAGTATTACCATATAGTTGCTTTTCCATGTCAACTAAACTATGGGATATACTTGCAAGAGCTGAGAGTCTGTTTAAACACATCATCGATTCCAATTGCTGATAACTATTTTAAAAGGTGAGTAAAAAGTACCCAATCACCACCAAACTGATTCCATTTGATGGTTGCAGTTATGTGAATAGGATCCAATAGCGAAGCCGTTTCAGAGTTGTTATTAACTTCTTTCATTAACTAAGCTTCAGAAGATATACTTTGTTGAAGTAACAATAGAGAAGGACCATCACCTTTGAAATGTCATGGTATTTTAAAGCTGTGCAATTTCAGAAGACTCGATGAGGGGAAAAAAAGGAAAAAAGAAAAACCTACCTAAAGATTCATTTTTCCATAGTTTTTTCTTACAAACAATAAAAAAGGACAAAACCCCTTTGCTCCATTATGCCTTTTTTTTGTTTATTCCTCTGAAAATTTCTATATTGATTTTAGCTGGATATTTTGAAAGGGGTTACCAAATAAGGGCTGACTATCTGCCCTTTCTAAACAATAGATGATGCAATCAAAGGGTGACAAAGGGCCCTGTCAACCCTTTGATTCTATTTTGAATGTTGTAGAAAAGTTTGATGATTAGTTCAACATATAATTAAATTGTTACATACATGTATTTTATACATGGATTAGCTGCGATATATACCTATATATACTGCAAAGGCACAAGTAATTACTAACACGAAGGTAGTAATTTTTGTACCAATTTAAGGTGCATTTAAATAAGTGTACAGGAGGTGTCCACATTCAAAAACTAACCATCTATAAAGAAAAAGGTGGCAAAGGACTAAATATAATGATACAATTTATACCTACCATGAGAGAATTTGGTTGTATCCATATTGGAAATCCCTCTCCTGACATTTCTTGACAGGATATACCAATTGGTTCTCGTGGAAGTACAGAATCTTTTTCAATTTCCCAAGGTCAGGCCGAAGGGCAACCAGTTCAGTCAGGTTAAGCACAGCGCTCGCAAAGAGGATCCTAGGAAAATAAGGAAATTAGGGTTTGCTGTCCTGAGGAAGCTTGAAGGGGTCATCCTTTGCCCTTCTCTTCTCTTACCCCCAGAAAAACATATCCCCTATAGGGACACATCAATAGTTAAGACTTAATACCATGTAGCAGCATTCTAAGTTTTGATCTCTTAAAAAGCAGCTGCTATGAACTGTAAAAGCCCCGAATCTCATTGGTCTGCTCAGCTCACTTACTGAGATGCAAAAAAAAAAAGCAAAAAAAAAAACCTGGATGGATTTTATTGAAAAAGGCAAGAAAAGCTCTATCTGAAGGACAAATGGAACAAAGATAAGGCTGACTGGGGAATACTTTGCTTGCCCGTTTCATTACACTTTACTTCTTTATGCAACCAACTACTGAAATTCAATATACAAGCAGGAATGGCACATGTTCATGTTATGACATAAACCCTTTTGATTTATGCAATAGACTTACCTAGTGTGGTCTTTTTCTCTTGGCATGTTTTCTCACTGTCCCTCCCCCCCTTTTTTTTAACTATTCTGCAATATTTCGGTTTTTGTTTTTTTAATGTTTTCTTCTACACTACTGGACTGCTAATGGCACCAGGTGTACAATCTGCAAAACCCTATATAAAACATAAATATAAAAAGAAAATGAAGAAAGCCTGATTCCCTTTCTTTGGGATGGGGGGAGGAAACTGACAGCTTTACCTATCCATGTTTACAAGTGAAACTGTTAATTCGCTTATTCCGTAAACATTTACTACATGCCTACTATGTGCCAGGGTCTAACAGGACAAACAGACAAGAAGAACAAGACAGCCCACCAGGATGCACGCTGCCTGTAATAATGACATGTACAAAGTACTGAAGGAACAAGCAGAGAGGAGCAATAACTGTCTGGAACAACCTGGAAATGTTTCACTAATGAGGTGCCTACCACATGTGGACACAAAAGAGGGACAAATTACAGTCCCTGAGCAGCTGAGTACATTTAGATGGCACAATTTTGATGGAATGCCACCTTTATAACATAATGCAGTATCACTTGACCCTTACAGCTTTAATTCCCATTCTAAAAAATGAGGTTCAAGAAGGTTAAGCATTTTTTCTAGAATCACACAAGCAAGGACTCCTGCTCTTGGTCATCTAAGCCCGAAGTGCTTTCCATTACACCAGGGACGTGAATTGGTTTTGGACGACTTACATTGCAAATGCATTTTTCTGTACTTAATAAATACAAAATATCATCCTTGTTATTACCATGATTACAATTACTATAAATTCTCACTTGCTGACAAGCCAAATGGCTAACTTCAGGTGTTTATATGATCTGCAGCACTAGCCTTTCACATAAGAAGAACGATTACATAATAAGTGCATATATCACAAATAGGAATTCAAGTGTCTTCTTCATGGGCTACAAAAGGCACGTAAGACCAAAAGCAGTGATCTCTCTTTTAGATTCACACTGCTGCACTAATGTTATAGTTCACTGCTTTAAAGTAAAACATTATTACCAAGGAGATGCATTTATTTAATTCTCTATTTGTATTCAATTAAAGCAAATAGAAAAATTATGGTCAGAAAATGTCCTATTTTAACCAAAAATATTCCCACCACCACTACCAGATATAAGCCTTTCTAGAACTGAGATTGAAAGTTCTGAAATATGAAGATACTTGCTTATCTACAAATCTTATCCTTAGTAGAAAGAACAAGACTATATTAATCTGTCAATAGCTATTTTCCCCAAAAGAAAATGGATGGCAACTTCTGGGTCTACTTACTGGGTAATTCTCCTCCCTTTCCTTCTATTTCCACCCCTAACATACACACTATTGCAAGCAATGACTTATTCTTCATCGTTAAGGCCTGAGCAAGCTCAATGTTTTTCACACAAAAGGCAGAAAAAGTCATAAAATGGAGCCCCCATGTTACTTATTAGTTACAAAAATGGTATCTTTATAATGGAGAACTTTGGTAGACCTTAACTTATCCAAATGACCAAGCTTCATGTGATCAATAATGGGACAAAGTAATATCATATATTTCTCAATGTGGTACACTGAGAAAGATACAAATCACCTATGTAGTATTCCCACCCCAAATGCCTGATCTGAATTTGGTCATGAAGAAACAAATGTCCTGCAAACAACTGGGCTGGCTCCAAGGTCAATGTCATAAAGGGGAAAAAAAATAGATTAAAGGAAAATAAAGAGACCCCAAAACAAAATGCCACACTGGATACGAGGTTGGGAAAAAACAGCTCTAAAGGACATTGTAAGAACAATAGGGAAATGCTGAATATGGGCTGAATATAGATTGTAAATTTTTATCAATCTTAAATTTCTTCAGTGTAATAATTTTACTGGGTTTATATAATATCTTTATTCTTAGGAGATACATGTTGAATTATTTACACATGATGAGTCATGATGTCGGCAACTAATTCTTAAATGATTCAGTCAAAAGACTACTGATAACAATAAATATTTAATATGTTTATATTTACAAAAATAAAAAATTTGCAAAATATTAAGAATTGATGAAGTAAATGGTAATTGTAATTCACTGATCTAGTCTTGCAAGTCTTTGTTAAGTTATACATTATAAAACCATAATTTGGGGGCAATATGCACAAAATGGCATTAAATAGAAGGGAAAACTATGTTGCATTCCATAAACAATCAATCCATCAAATATGCACTTCTGGTCATAATCCAATTAATTTCCTACGTGAGAATTATCCTCCGGGTGGACCATCTGTAGGGAATGTTTAACCAAGGCGAGCCCTTCATTCCACTCCTACCACACACCTCTCCATAGCCTACCTACCAGCTAATCTGCCATCAAGGCATCCAAATCACAAGTTTAGCTCTCCAAATAAAACCTCCCAAACGCAAGAATGCAACATATTCAGAAGTGAAATGGCACTAATTTCCACAATATTAACCATTTGGGAATGCCCACACCAACACTTCCTTCGGTTTGTTCAATCGTTAATAGGAAAGTCATTGTATTTTTATTACTAATCTTGAAATAGTCCTTATACTTCTAAACTGTGGAAAGTATTTCTATCATTAGGAAAACCTTTCTCTGTTTCCACTTATAAAATGGTAGTTAAATTGGACAAGAAGCAACTCCTCAAATATTTAGCGCAATGACACCCACAAATAAGTAATGAATATGCCTACAAAAGGAATGCAGGTAAGATTTATAGGCAATTTCTACTTTTCCAACCTTCCATCAAAAAAAAAAAGTTTATAAGAATACAATGAATGACATCACTCGATCAGCAGCTAATCCCTGGGCTCCCGATGTTCATCTTGCCTCAGGTGTTATTTAAGCAATAAATCCTAACAAGGTAAGCTTTATCATCCCACACAGTGTGTCTGGCAGGAAAGGGCGCAAGGTGATAGCAAACACCACTAGGAACAAGATAATTCCTGACAGCTGCTGCTGGAGTACAAGTTAAATTGAACAGTTTATCTCAGCAGGAAGATGTTATAAGGTTTTATGTTTAATATTTTTAAATTAACATAAAACCCAGAGAAAGCAGTTGGGCAATCTTTCACAAACATGACATACTACAATCACAGTATAAGCTGGATTAGTACTTATTACCATGCTCCTACAGAATTAAGCTGTTTTTAGACCGCCAAAGAGCTTTAAATTGCAACTTTTGTCTCTGTAAGAGAAACCTGTATTTAAAATGTCTGCTAAATTCAAATTAACGACTACATCGTTAATTTACCATTTCACCAAAAGCATAAGTAAGCTGTTATTATGATAGCCTAACCAAAACAGCTCTGTGCTGCAAGCATATTAACACCTTCCTATATATTGGGGATTGTATTCATATCCATTTTTCAATTGTTTGTAATGCACAGTATATCTACAATTTGAGTCATAGGTGCTTACAAAATAGAAAATAATTCAACACAGTGAAATTCAAGATTAGAGATTTTATTCTTTTTTTGCTCAGTTTGAATAAATTAGTTGCTTGCCTTTCACCCTGTTCTCTTAATATGTAAGAAAAGATGCTGACGTGCACTCAGGCACTGTAGGAGTGTGGTCACTATTTTCTAGAATAGAAGCACACTTTTATATTGTAAATGGTGTGGAAAGGCAGTGAGATGAGAAACAGAGTAACCACCACTACATACATACAAAAAGAAATTTTCCTTCCTGGACGAGGTTATCTCACTCTTGCCTCATTAAATCTTTTCAGTAGCCCTCCTACCCACCCACCCACAACCATTAATCGCAAATCAGGGATACAGTGCACAATTTAACACAGATACCAGTTGGGGTTTTATTCAGGCTTAAGCCATGCCTTGCAGGGTTTCAGGAGTCCTTGGACAATTGAGTCAATTCCATTCTTCCAGCTACGTCACTTTGCTCAACACCTAAACTCCTGTCTAGATTCATATGCCTCAGCCTCATCACCAAAGTCTTTTTTTCTTTGGTTGCCTATCTTGAGTTCCTGTTCCTTGATAGCTACTCTGCAGGTTTCTAGATCCTGTACTTTCTGGGATATGGTTATTTTTACGATGGTGGAAATGTCCTATACCTGTACTGTCTAACAGGGTAGTGACTGGCCACATATGGCTATCGAGCACTTGCAATATAGTTAGTGTAACTGAGGAACTAAAAATTTAAATTTAATTCCATTTGATTAACTTAAGCATAAATTAAATAGCCATAGAGTAATGGCTACTGTGTGAAAAGCACAGCTCGGGGTGGACCAGCTTTCTTTAACCCAACATTCCACTCATGGTACCTGAGTGCATTTCCTCACTTAATTGATTTTCTTGTACAGGTCCTTGATCTGAAAACCTAATTTCTAGTTACTCTGGACTACCTGTGTTTTACCTACCAGGCTCTCCAATTCTGGAATGGCACTATTTCTTTTTCCTTCTGATAATTAGGTAACACTTGTTCACTACAGAAATGTTTTAAGTACAAAAAAATATAAATTAAGAGAATATCACCCACAACCACCCC